AATAACCACGCCCACCTCCCATACAAAGGTTATGTTGAAAATCACTAAAAGTGCGTTAACCGACTAACAAAAAGCGTCAGAAATACTAAATTTTACGGAAGAAATATCAGATGGAAGCTGCATCCAGGCTTTTTGAAAAATTGAAAATGGGCGTGGCGTCGCCCACTTATGGACCAAAAACCATATCTCAGGAAGTAATCAACCGCTTTCAATAAAATTCGGTATATAATATTTTCTTAACACCCTGATGACATGTACCAAATATGATTGAAATCGGTTCACAACCACGCCTGAAATCTCGATTATCACTTTATCATGCGAGAATATAAAATGCTCGGTGACACCCGAACTTAGCACTTCCTTACTTTTTTTTTTCTTCTTATTTTATTGCAATTGTATATAACCGCTTAATTAGAGTCCCTAGTAATGCCTGAGATTCAGAGYCCGCTATGTCTTATGCAGAATTTTGTCCATTTCTCTTCGTAATTGCCCTTTTGAGCATTAACGCGACCAGGGAGGACTATRTTATATAAGCGGAGGTGACACTTACATACATACATATGTATGTAATAGATAAGGTCCGTTAGCGAGTTGGACGCAGGAAGTGGTGTGTTTACCCTTCGACATGCAATTAACTGGTTACTGTACAGCACTTAAAAAAAAAGAAATTGGGATTACTTAAAGTTAATCTCGGGACCCCGAATACTTTCGGATTTCACCATTTTGCTAACCATTAATGTACAGAACTTTTTTGTCAAAAAAATTCGGGATTACCTAAAATTATTCTCGGAATCCCGAAAACTTTCGGGAATTCTCAATTTCTCAACATTATATTAACATACTTGGTCTAAAAATAATGTTTCAAAAATTTGTGCATAACGGAAATTCGGARTTTGTAAAAATTAATTTCGGGATCCCGAAAATTTTTGTGATTTCTCGCCATTATATTAACTAATTTTAATTAACTGGCTATAATAATGTACACACATTTTAGGACTACTTAAAATTAGTTTCGGGATCCCGAWAAWTTTCGGGACTTCTCAGCATTTTATTAACTAGCTATTCTGGCTGCAAATAATATTTACAAATTTTGTGCACAACGAAATTTCGGGATTACTTAAAATTAATTTCGAAAATTTTCGGGATTTCTCACCAATTGATTAACTAACTATAATTAATTGACTGCAAATTATGAATTTGGTGCATAACGAAAATACGGGATTAATAAAAATTAATTTCGGGATCCCGAAAATTTTCGGAATTTCTACAGTTCCAATACTTTTAAATAAAAAAATATTATTAATTGTTATATAAGTATATAAATTTCTTTCCACCATAAGCCAGATATAAATATGCATGTATGTACATATGTACATATTTATGTATGTGTTTGCGCCATTCGGGATATCCCTACCTGATATCGATTAATTTTCACAGAACTTGTATCACCTGCCAACATTCAGGTTTGATGAAAAACTGCTAATAACTTGAATTATCATTTTAATTGGCTGCGAATCCAAAACGAGTAGCGGCAAAGAATCTCTAACACCAGTAGATTCTTATTAGTATGATGAGCGTATGTACATATCGGCAGAGATTGCCAAGGTTTGCAAAGAAAAAAAGAAAGTTGCTGTTAGGCTTCTCGATGCAGTCATTTAATTACTTTAGTGTATGTATKCACATTAGGGTGGCGCTTTAAAAAATTCAAAACTGCATTTTTTTCAAGCCTGCTTCCTCAATCGATATTAATACGGTTAATGTTAGCAGGTAGAAATGTTAAACCCTGACGTTACGTCGTTTTGGGTCAAGGTCAACTTTAGATGCAATAAATTCCCTCAGTCAAACATTTTTAGAAGCCTGCGCACCTCATCGGCTAATATTCCAAAGAAAGTATTTTATTTTGAACYCCGAGCGGCTGCCCTTAATCATTCCCCATCAGAAGTAAAATTTGTATGTGAAAGTTTCTACTTTTTAATAACGTCCCTAATGCTTGCAYATTTTTAAGCGCATAATCCAGTTATTAAGGCCAGTATGCATACGTAATTCTCTATGCTAATTAGTCACACGATGGCATCGTTGACCAACATTTTTTGCCTTGTTTTAGAATTTTTAATGCCGGTTTCTGATAAAAGTAACGGTTCAATGGAAGAGGACAAATGATTAGGAGGGTTTTGTCAGAAAAAACTCTTAACAATTAGAAATAATTAAATAAAGTGGTTTGAAATCTATTTTCACCAGAAATGTGTACACAGTATAGAAGAAACCTAAAAAAACATGTATTTGATCTTGTTTTTCCCAAATTCATGGAAATACCGAAACTTTCCAGAAAGGTAAAGAGTTTACCCAGCCTTTAGGTTGTATGAACATGAAAAGAGTTTGCCCTAGGACTACATACGCACATTGTTTTTGCCGGGTATTGCGTCGAATACTCTCAGAGCTGGAGTGTTTTCGTCTATTCGCCCAATATAACCTAGCCAACATAGCCGCTGTATCTTAATTCSCTGAACTACGTCAATGGAAAGAGCTATTCTGCGTTGGATTTCGAGGCTGATGTTGTTGTTGGTGTTAATGCTGGTTCCAAGATAGACGAAATTATCTACGACTTCGAAGTTATGACTGTCAACAATGACGTAGGATCCAAGTCGAGAGTGCTACGAGCTTTTGTTTGATGGTGATGATTTCGTCTTGCCCTCGTTTACTACCAGACCCATTTGCTCCGCTTCCTTATCCAGTTTGGAGAAAGCAGAACGATAAGGAGTCGCCTTGTCTGAAACCTCGTTTGGTATCAAACGGCTTCAATAGATCCTTCCTGATCGGAACTTTTGATACTGTCAAAAGCAGCTTTGAAATCGACGAAATTGTAATCCTTAGTACGTTTGCAGTGGTCGTCATCAAATAGGGGGTCTCTCATCTGAGGCCGTTTTCTTCTTTTCATGAGGTGTGGTTTTTACGTGGCGGGTTCTAAACCCAGCGCACCGCCCTAGGGAGAGATGTTTCGCCTTCAAACTGATGTTTTTTTCTGGCTATCCAGAGGATACTTGGTCCAACACGAGAAATCGTGAGCTGCTTGGGTCTTATGTAAAAGAATCGTTTCTGTTCACTGCCCAATGAATGGCGCTCATAGAACTTTCCTTACTTACGTGAACTTTTAAACGTGGTTCCTTTGTCATTTTATACATTTCTGTATTACAAAACWCAAGATTTAATTTTATTGTGAAGATATTAAGAATATTTAGTTCGTTTCTGTAGAGCTTGCCTATTTTATTAGTTAAAGGAGATTACTTTCTTTTAAGAACCATCATTATTATTTCGTCTATAGAGTCCGTTGTCGGTCTCTAACTGCACTATAAGGTCTCACTCCCTTTCTCTTTGCTTCTGTAGTATATATATATGTATATTAGTATCTCTCTACTCGTTTGTCGGTCATACAAACTGACCGGTGCAAAGAAAATTTGGCGTAGGTTATTGACCAAAGCATAGCTACAATCTTCGAAGAAAGTGTTCAGATCAGACCACTATAGCATATAGCTGCCATACAAACTGATTATTACAAATTAAGTCCTTGTATGAAAAAACTTTTTACTTTGACGAGATAACTTCAGTAAATTTGGCGTAGGTTATTGACCAAGGCATAGCTGCAATATTCGAAGAAATTGTTCAGATCRGAMCWCTATAGCATATAGCTGTCATACAAATTGACCGTTAAAMGTCAAGATAAAGATCTTATATACCCTTCCATGCTAGAAGATTTTTACCTGTGAAAGATATAATAGTTTCGATGCAGCCGAAGTTAAAATGTTTCCTGTTTTTCAATTTTTTCTCTCATTCTCTCCCTCTCGCTCTATACCTATCTCTTTCATGTACACAATGTTTGTATATTTCCATTGATTGGCATTTCCTGCTTGCAGGGTTAATGGATTAAGCAATTACGGTTATATAACTTAATCTACACCCGTTCAATTTAAAATTCATTATCTTTTATAGTTTTATGTATGTTTTTATTGAATACACATACGCGCACAAATTTTCATTGGCCCTGTATAGGCTCGTAAAAGTACATACATTAAATTTTACGCTTACAAATCTAGTTTTACTGCCGATAGCAATCGTTTGTGGTAMATACTTCTATTGCAATATTTATTTTRTTTKATTTATWTWTTTTTCTTGTTAGATAAATATTATATAATCCGTACACACACGAATTACATTTTTTTCATGAAATTTTGCTTTCTTTTCGCATAAAATTTTCTTTAAAAATATGTGTGTCATTTTCTTTTAAATTTAAAAATATTTTCAACGCAATTAAATCATGAAGTTTCCGTGCTAAGTAGTCTTCGTCGCAAACGCTTACTAGAGTTAGTTTATAATTTATTAATTTTTGTTTTTATTWTATAGTTTTTACTTATTTATTTATTTTATTTTTTTTAATACTAACGCCTTGTAAAAGTACTCGCACGTTTCGGCCRCTGCAAACGAACAAGCACGAAGCATGCGCCGGTGCAGCACTCGCCTACACGTTGTTGCTTTAGGTTTGTGTACTCGCTTTACTCGTTCGTTGTATYCGTTGCAATTTTACGCATAACCGTTAGACACGTGATCACCTGCCGTCAAGCCGAAACGTACAATTTTGTTTTAATACTTTTCGGGCATCAAAAAATAATAAAATTTTCATTACAAAAAATATTTTACTGCAGCTTATGGCTACAATTTAAGGCATAGTTCGTATAGTTAAGGCTTTTGCAACACGATTCGTGCTCGTTTGCAAAAATACTAAATATATGTAGGATTTGCGATTTAAGATCAACAGTTACTTAGTCAAGGTTTACAATAGTGGTGGGTATAATATATAATGCTCTTTCAAGTTACGCTCAAATATTTTTTTTCYCTCTTTAATTTTAAATTTTACCGCATAACAGTAAATGCGAGATCGTAAAGATCTATGCGTTATATAGKGATATGTGGTTTACATGTAATATTGTCTCCGTTGCCGCGCTTAATACTCTTTTACGCGCTTTGCTCTCTTTCACATCGCTTTGTCTCTTTCTCACAACGCTTTGTCCTTTTGTCTTTCTCGCATCGTTTTGTYTCTTTCTCTTATATTTTTTAACTTTCTCTCCCTATTTKTTTTGCTCAAAATCACGCTCTCGCATCTCTAAKTTCTCTCTCTTTCCTTTTTAGTTCGGCTATTTACGCTTTCTTTCGCCTTTTCTCTCTATTTCACTTTCTGTTTTTGTCTCTTTTTCTTGTATTTTTGCACTTTCTCTCCTTTTTTTGCAAAAATCTCTTTTTYCATCTTTAAGTTATCTCGCTTTCTTTTACTGTTTTCGTTCTCTTTATCTCTCTCTCTCTCTCCCTCTATCCCACATTTTTTTTCTTCATTACACATCCTTGCCTTAGAACTTATGCACATCCTCATTATTAACCACCTCTGAGGTCTCGCCCAGCACACGCATAGCATTCGAATAATCCGAATCGATTTGTGGTATGATTTGCTTATTATTCGGACGTAATGTACGTATGAGATCGGTGAGCGAGAGGAACGATTGTCGATCGACATCATTGTTGTTATTGTCATGATGTAATACACCAGCCGCCGGTATGTTGTGTCGTTGATTCTCATTGCTGGCAGCGGCCATCTTTTCAATCTCCTGTGAGATCTGCTTGAGACGCACCTCAACAGTGGGCACTTCAGCGGGCGCGGCTATAGCCGGTACCGGCAATGTCTTCAATTGATCTTCACCAACTGTATTGTGCTTGGTATCGACATCATCACCGCTATCCTCATGCGAAGCCGAGTTGTTTTCTTCGTTGGCGGCATCATCGTCCTCCTCTTCGCCCGCTTCTTGTTGTTGTTGTTGTGCATCGTTGTGTACATCTTGTTCGACTTGATGTTCGGCSGATTCTTTGCTGTTGCCGTTATGCAAATCATTGTTGCCCTCATAGACGGGCAATGTGCGCTTCTTCTCATCCTCAGTCTCCTCATCATCAGCATCGAAGCTGTCATGTTCATGTTCATGTTCGTGCTCAGTGTCGTGCTCATCGTTCTTGGCCTCCTCTTCGCCACTMTCGAGATCGTGATCGAGATTCAAGGAGACAAAAGACAGTTGCGGCTCATCATGCTCGTCATCATGATGGGAGCGCTTCGAGAARGGTGTGTACGTGGACATGGTGAGCGGTAACGGAGTTGTGGATAGGCTCAGCTTGGTGGGGTCGACAGTGGGGCGTGAAGTGGTCGAGGTGACTGGACGGCTGTTTATGTGCGTGTGAGGGGAGAAATGAAAGAAAACGCAATAAAAAATGTAATTAGAAATGAATTTCCAGCAATAAAAATAAGATTGTTGTCAAGTAATAGCACTTAAGAGAAAAGCTTGCGAAAGTCAGCGGGCGTGCGTGCGCATAAGTTCGCCTGCATTCGTCTGAATATGTGTATATATGGTCATTAATATACCGTATCAGCTTTTTTGTGGACAGTGTGCCGGCAGGCGTACACACGAACACATGGCGAACACGGCACAAAGCTTCAGAGTTAGAGGTGCAAAAGAGTTGCGTTTTCAAGCCACTACTGAGACATTACATACAAACAACTATATTTAGTGTTTACTGTTACAAATAGCAATACAAAAGAGGCGACATGACATGTGTGTGTATATATGTATAATCCTTAATGCACGTTTTATGCTTACTGTTAGCCGATCAGCGYTGATTATAAACACCAAAACATGGCAAACTCAAAAATTTACTTTTTTTCTTAATTTTTTTTTCGAACAGACATTTGCTTTAGATCTTTGTCTTTGTGTTTTACAAGCAGCTAAGCCCCAAACCACGAAGTTCTTAAAAATATCTGTTATGGACATATACAAAACGGTTACAATTTTGAGGTTAGTAATTGTGGTCGTAAAAAGATATGGAAAAATACGCGTGTAAATACATGTGTGTTGGTAGCTACGGCGGCAATTTGAAAAGGCGGCATAAATTTCATTTTAGCTATTTATTTGCGGTACTTTTTCTGCTTCTACTGTTGCTTTGTGTTTCTTGTTATTGCTATTGCAGGCTTGTTAGTAGCGAAATGAAACGTTATTTGCACTTGAGAAATGACAGACTAATTGCTTTATAACGGCGTTCGAGTTTTCTTTAAACTATAGGAGTATGTGTAAATGCATATATGGCGCAAACAGTGACTCAGAAAATTATACAGACGGTGCGTGTTTTTTGTTTTTTTTGTTTTATAAATAATTAATTAATTTGCTTATTTATTTTCATAATATAAATAAGTATTTATTTTTATTTTTGA